GGGGGCTTTGTTCCTTTAATTCTCGGCTCTGGGACGGCGCGATGCAACGTTTCAGTGCCAGTGGACAGCCTTGGAGGCCGGGAAGTGGCTTTTCGGGCCCCAGAGGGCTACCTGGTGCAGTCTGGGGAGGGCGGGGGGGCTTTGTTCCTTTAATTCTCGGCTCTGGGACGGCGCGATGCAAAGTTGCAGTGCCAGTGGACAGCCTTGGAGGCCGGGAAGTTGCTTTTCGGGCCCCAGAGGGCTACCTGGGGCAGTCTGGGGAGGGCGGGGTGGTTTTGTTCCTTTAATTCTCGGCTCTGGGACGGCGCGATGCAAAGTTGCAGTGCCAGTGGACAGCCATGGAGGCCGGGAAGTTGCTTTTCGGGCCCCAGAGGGCAGGGGGCCTTCGTTTGGTCCGGTCTTCGGGCATGGAACGCAAGACGCAAGTAAAAGTTGGCCAGAACTCGCCGTCTGGGCCTAGACTCCCGGGCCGGAGTTTTGCTTGAACTCTTAGGCATACCCAGACATTTTGTGGTGGTGGGTCCTCGTTTTGAAGGGAGCGTTCCGCGTTCCCCCTCCTCTCGTTGCCCCTTCCTCTCCAACCTCGCATCCCTGCCTCTGCCCTCCGCATCAGCAAACCTTTTCGGCACACCCCTCACACGCTTCGTGGTCCCATAGGGAACTCCACCGAGGGCCCCAATGGCTGCGCTGGCATGGCACCACCGCGTCCATGTCGGCACACCCCTCACACGTTTCGTGGCCCTATAGCTCCAGTGGCTGCGCTCGCATGGCAACACCGCGCCCATATCGGCACACACACACACACACCTCACACGTTTCGTGGCCCCATAGGGAGCTCCACCGAAGGCCTCAGTGGCTGCGCTCGCATGGCACCATCGCGTAGCTGTCGGCAAATCTCCCACACGCTTCGTGGCCCCATAACAATCTCCACCGAGGGCCCCGGTTACTGCGCTCGCATGGCACCACCGCGTCCATTTCGGCACATCCCTCACACGTCTCGTGGCCCCATAGAGATTTCCACCGAGGGCCCCAGTGGCTGCGCTCGCATGGCACCACCGCGCCCATGTCGGCACACCCCTCACACGCTTCGTGGCCCCATAGGGAGTTCCACCGAGGGCCCCAGCGGCTGCGCTCGCATTGCACCACCGCGCCCATGTCGGCACACACCTCACACGTGTCGTGGCCCCATAGGGAGCTCCACCGAAGGCCTCAGTGGCTGCGCTCGCATGGCACCATCGCGTAGCTGTCGGCAAATCTCCCACACGCTTCGTGGCCCCATAACAATCTCCACCGAGGGCCCCGGTTGCTGCGCTCGCATGGCACCAGCGCGCCCACTTCGGCACACCTCTCACACGTCTCGTGGCCCCATAGAGATTTCCACTGAGGGCCCCAGTGGCTGCGCTCGCATGGCACCTCCGCGCCCACGTCGGCACGCACACCTCACACGTTTCGTGGCCCCATAGGGAGTTCCACCGAAGGCCTCAGTGGCTGCGCTCGCATGGCACCACCGCGTAGCTGTCGGCATACCTCCCACACGCGTCGTGGCCCATAAAAATCTCCACCGAGGACCCCAGTTGCTGCGCTCGCATGGCACCACCGCGCTCACTTCGGCACACCCCTCACACGTTTCGCGGCCCCATGAGGAGCTCCACCGAATGCCCCAGTGGCTGCCTTCGCACGGCACCACCGCACCCATGTCGGCACACCCCTCACACGTCTTGTGGCCCTATAGGGAGCTCCACCGAGAGCCACAGTAGCTGCGCTCGCATTGCACCACCACGCCCATTTCGGTACATCCCTCACACGCTTCGTGGCCCCATAGGGAGATCCACCGAAGACGATACTCACAACTGTGTTACTCACAACTGCATCTAGTTCGGTTTTTCGCCAGGCTCATTCGCCGTTTTTGGTAGCTGGGGGCCTTTACCCGGCCCCAGGACCATCAAACAGGACTCAGGATGAAACGCGGGTCTGGGTGAAGGGGTGGAGCCTTTTGGTGACCGCGTATTGAAAAATCAAGACATCGGATCTCTGGGTAGTTAGGCGCTGGGGGCATCGTGACCCTGGAATGGCAGTCCAGTCGAAGAAGAAGAAGAAGGCGAGCCAGCACGGCAGACCACCTGGGGCAAAGAGGAGCATTGCAGGCAGGCCAAGAAGATAGGAGCACGACAGCCCAGCACAGCACCCGAGCACGGCAGCCACACTTACTGGGTTTGGTGCCCCTCCTTGTCGACTATTCTTGCTTAGGCGACAGGGGTATTCTTGCGACGCGGGGGAGGGAGAGGGGCAAGCCCCTCCCCGAAAGGGACGAATGGGGGTTGGAAGGGAAAACGCTCCAAACCACCTCCGCCCCAGAGGGGTGGTGGGATTGTCGTGAACGTGTATGGGGGTCGTCCTGGCGGCTCCCCGAAGCCCTGTTGGGCTATGTTGGCCGCATCTTGGCGCCCAGTTTGGCCGTCATGGGCCCGTCTGTTCCTGCTCGTGGTTCTATGCACTCGCCGCCGCCTTCTCGGCACCTCATCGGGCAAGCACGAAATACGCCAGGGGGGGAGGGGAGCGACAGGCATCTCCCATTTTGGTGACGTCTGGGGGGCGGTGAATTTCGCCGTTGCCCATTGACGCCACATGGCGTTCTGCTCATCAAACCGCTACTTTCTGGCGGCGCTCACATAAGTTATAAGGGTGTGGGGTGAGGTGTGCGACCTTCAGAAAGGGCACGGGGCTTCTCAGGAGAGGCGAGGTGCTTGCTTAGCACCCCGCCCCGCCCTCTGATGCGCGCAGTCAACAGAGCCTGGCTCCAGGTACAGGTCGCCGCAGGCCTCAGCAGGTACCCGAAAGCGTCTCGAGGCGTCTCGAGGCTTCAAAGTTTCGCACCGGCGCGCCGCCACCGCTCCACGCGACCAATTCGTCACACGATTGTCGGGGTGGACGGGAGGGGGGATTGGTAAGGAGGGGGTTGCGCAATCTTTTGCGCTCGGCACACGGCCGCCTTCGGCGCTGAGAAAGCCAGCCACACGCGGCTACTTCGCTAACGCTGGCTAACTCTTTTTTGCCATGCCTCCCCCTCTCTGTTGTCCCCCCACCGAGCTTTGCTCAGGGGTGGCCCCAGAATGGTGCGGTGACCACACCATGAGGTGAGCCAGTCGGGATTATGGGTGACCGCACGTTCTGGCGACTTGGGTCGGTCTCCGAGGATACCTCGGGCGACTGGGGCCGCCAAGGTCCCAAAACCGTGCGGTGACGGACTGTGCCGTAAGGTCTTGGGTCTGTGGCTCGAGAGTATCCATATCTTCGCTTGGGAAACATATCCTCTTGGACCTCTGGAGTCGGTGGATACATCGAGGCCCCCTGGGGTCCAAATACGTCCATACCCACCGCCTCCTGGGGCTTCAGGAGGTCGGTTCCCCAGGCGGTGGACATGGACTAATCCCCGCCTCGCATATTGGGGGATTTCGAGGTCACCGCACGGCCTGACACCTCACCGTTTTGAGAACCCCTTTCTGAGATAGATGCGTTCTCAACCGCCACGACTGCTAATCGTGTGGCGCCGTCGCCCCTTTCGGGCTCCAGCCTGATCCAAAAGGCTGCGGAGAGCAGGGTGTGCAAGCACCCTCGGGCAGGGCTGGGAAAGGGATAAGCTGATCTACAGCACTCCAGAACGCTCTCAGAGCGTTCCGGAGCGGTCTGCAACAGCCGCGGCGGCGCCCGATACATCTTCCAGAGTCGCCGAATTTCGGAGATCCCCATTTATCCTTGTCTGATTGTGTCCGACTGGCCGGGCGTGCGCTATAGTTGCGACTGGTGCTACCATCTTTCGGCGCAGTACTCGAGTCGACTTGAGAGATCTGCGCGTTTGGGCGAGTCGAATTCGAATGCGTCGTTTGCTCCGCCCTCCAGGGGCGTTCTGCCCATGTGTTTTCCCAACCCTCCTGTGTTGGGCTCTCGTCTTGAATAGAGCACTATTGTATCCAGTCCTCCTTCTCCCCCCTCCTCCTGCCTCCTCCTGCGCTGCTCTCTGGGTGGCTGCGAACTGCGCAATTGTCTCACATTCGGGGGCTCCTGGGAGGTCTAGCGGGGTCGGGGGCCACGCGCATCCAGCAGATACCTCGCTGCTCCTTGGGCGGCTGCGAACTTTGCAAATGTCGTCACTTTCGTGGATTCCTGGGAGGCACGGCGGAGTAGGGAGTACCCGAGATCTCGGTGTTCCCTATGTGGTTGCACACTGCGCAATTATCGCCACTTCGTGGGCTCCTGGAATGCACGGCAGAGCAGCGGAGTACTCGCGTCCTCGCAGCTCCTTGGGTGGTTGCGAGCTGCGCAATTGTCTTCATTTTCGTAGGATCCTGGGAAGTCCAGCGGGGTCGGGGGCCACGCGGATCTTGCCGAGACCTCGCAGCTCCTTGGGCGGCTGCGAGCTGCGCAACCGTCGCCTGTTGCGTGGGCTCCCGGGAGGCACGGCGGAGGTGAGGGCAGCCCTGATCGCGCATATTTGGCAATGTGTTCTGTCGTATGGAGCGTTCATACAAAGATTCGCCTCGCGTGGAGAAGGGGTTGGGTACGTCTCGGGTACTTTTTGTTCAAGGTCGACCCCAGAAGTCTCGACCCCGTCCCTTGGAAGGGGGGAAAGGAGGAGCAGGAGGAGGGAAAGGAGGAGGAGCAGCAGGAGGAGGAGCCAGACATCTGACGTCGTGACTTTTGTTCGCAACATGGCTCTCCAGAGGTCTGGATCCCTCCCTCGGCACCAGCTTCTCATCCTGAGTAGTGTTTGGACGATCACGGGGCCCCGCGAGGGCCCCCAAAAGGTTGGAAAGCGCCAGAAAAATTCCCGTCGCGATTCTGTTCACGACGACAGGAGTCTTGATTCTGGGGACCCCGAGCTTGCCTCCGCCTCAGCCTCCTCCTCCTCCTCCTCCTCCTCCTCCTCCTCCTCTTCCTCCTCCTCCTCCTCCTCCTCCTCCTCCTCCTCCTCCTCCTCCTCCTCCTCCTCCTCCTCCAGGGGCGTGCTGCCCAACTGCGTGCCCATGGCGTTCCACTGGCCCACGTGGCAGCAGCTCGGCCAGGACGGCCCCGCGCACTGGGCGCGCCTCGTGCCCCACGTGGCCGTGCAAGGAGGCCCTGGCGGCGACTGTCGAGAGGAGCGAAATGAGGAGGAGGAGGAGGAGGAGGAGGAGGAGGAGGAGCGAGCTCGTCGGGGGCATGCAGAGTCAAGACGCTGAAGGAAGGACCACCCTGGGCGCAGGAGGGGCTCCCGTTTTCGTGCCGCTCCTCAGACCCAGGTCGGGGAACTTGGTCGTGGCCGAGGCTAGGCGCGGCCAAAAGAGCCCCCTCGCTCCTGGCTCATCGTCAGCACGAGGACTGCAGGGGGGATAGGGGGGATGCGAGAGGGAACGCGCCGAAAGTTCTCGGAAGTTCCCGGGGCCCTGGGTGGTTTCCATTTGCTGCGCTTCGTCGAGAGCGTCCTGGGAGTGCCGGAATCGCCCCGAACGGCCGCGAGAGGCCCGAGTGGTGGCCCGAAAACCGGCGAGCGGAAGGTCAGGGTTTAGCAGGTCTGCTGATTTCGACCCCTAGGTTTAGCATATGGTACCCGAGCCCAGGTTCTTGCCCAGTATTGCACGTTGAGTCCGGGCCCAGCGAGACCAGGTTCTTGCTCGATATGGTACGTTGGGTCCAGGCCCAGTGGTACACGCTCGGCACCCCTGCTGGCTCAAGGATAAAGCATCTGACCCCCCTCCTGATGCCACAAGGGGCAACGTTAGGGGGGATTTCGGTGTTCGATCATGGACCCCTTGTTGAACGCAACCATTCAGCTTGAATTTCAGGCCGAAGACCGCTGGACACCGCCAAAGATCGGAAATCGCCGAAGACCGTCAGAAGACCGCCGAAGACCATCCGAAGAGCGCCGAAGACGGCCCGGGAGCACAAGGGGTCCGTGGTCGGACACGTGAAGGGATAGGCTCAGGGGGGGACGCATCGACCCCCAGTCTGCCCGCTCGTCGCCCACGGGGGGGGGGGGGGCGAGAGGCCCGCCCCACCCAGGAGCGCGCGGGTTCGCCGCCCCGGGGGCCTGTCGTCGATTCCTCGGCGATGCATCGCCGCCTCCGTGTCGACGCTTCCCGCCCTCGACTGGTCCCCTTGGTGCCTTTCCCTGAGGTCCTGGCGTTGCGATTTGTCGTAACCGTCCTGGGGCGCTGGGTCCTCGTCGTGGAGAGAGAGAGAGAGAGAGAGAGTCTCCGCGTCTCCTCTTCCTCCCGATTCTCCCGCTCCTCCCTCCTCCCATCCCTGCCTTCAGTCGGGCGTGTCCCTCTGTAAGAGGAATATTCGAAAATAGTCGAACAATTGTCCAGAGACTATTTTTCTCATATTTATGAGCACGTTTTGAATATGTTTGTCTACCTTTTGTTGTTCGTCCAAAATCGGCATGTAGGGGGACATGCCCGATCTAATACTTGCCCTTGCCTCTGCCGTCACTTTGACACACCCCTCACACGTTTCGTGGCCCCATAGGGGGCTCCACCGAGGGCCCTTGTGGCATGGTTCGCATGCCGCACCCCCTCCGTTTTGGCACACCCCTCACACGTTTCGTGGCCCCATAGGGAGCTCCACCGAGGGCTCCAGTGGCTGCGCTCGCATGCGCCCTCCGCGCCCATTTCGGCACACCCCTCACACGCTTCGTAGACCCGTAGGGAGCTCCACCGAGGGCCCCTGCGGTTGCGCTTACATGCGCTCACCGCTCCCATATCGGCACACCCCTCGCACGATCCGTGGCCCCATAATAAGCTCCACAGAGGGCCCCAATGGCGGTGTTCACATGCGCGCACCACGACCATGCAGACGCACCCCTCACACACTTCGTGGCCCCATAGGGAGCTCCACCGAGGGCCCCCGTGGCGGTGTTCGCATGCGTCCGCCGCGCCGCGTTAGATCCCTCACACGTTCCGTCTCCACCGAGGCCGTCTCTCGTCGGATTGTCTCTCCTCGTGCTCGTCGTCGTCGCCGTTCTCAATTCCTCTTCTTGTCCCCTCCTCTCTTGGAGCTGGTCCCCACCTATCTTAGGATGCAACTTCTGGGAGGTCAAATTCACATCAGCGCTGGCTGGTAGATCGATGGTAATCAAAAACCGACCTAATCCAGCACGAGCCGCTCCAGTCCGCTTAATGCCGCGTAGTCCGACTTAATCCTGGGCTTAATGTGGGCTAATCCAGCTCAGCGGTCCTTCAATCGGACCTGATCGCCTCCAATTGTTCGTACGAAGACCTCTCCGGAGTGGCTTCCTGGCCGATCGTTATCCCTCAGAGGAGCGAGCTTGGAGGGAACGAAGAGCGGGGGGCCGAATAAGAAAACTCGCACCAACATCAATTTTCGGACCTCCGTGCAGATTTCTTGGATCCGCGCTGGGCTTCCCGGGGCAGTGCTTCCATCGCCGACCTGGGCGCGCTCCGCGCGCCAGGAGGGGGGGGGCCAGCGCCGACCCAAGCCAACAGCGCGGAGCTCCGAACGTCTTCGCTCGTCTTGGTTTTTGCGCCGCTCTGGGGGTCTGCAGGGGGCCGGTCATCGAGCCGGCGCCGATCCGAGCAATCCGCGCGGAGTTCCGAACGTTTTCGCTCGTCGTCTGGGTATTTGTGCCGGCCCAGGGTCGGCAGAGGGGCGGTCGTCGAGCCGGCAGCGCGCGCCCACCGGTGGCCGAGGGGGGAGGGAGGATCTGCTGGGCAGCGGGGCGGCGCCCCCGTGGCGAGGGCATGCTGTGGTTTTGAGAGCCAACCTCTCCTCGTGTTCCTCCTCCTCCTCCCCATCCTCCTCCTCCTCCTCCTTCTCCTCATTCGCCTCCTGCTCAACCCCCTCGTCCTCCTCCGTTCCCTCCTAATTCCTCCTCCTCCTCATCCTCATCCTCGTCCTCCTCTTCCCCCTCCTCTTCCCCCTCCTCCTCCTCCTCCTCCTCCTCCTCCTCCTCCTCCTCCTCCTCCTCCTCCTCCTCCTCCTCTTCCTCCTCCTCCTCCTCCCCTCTTTCCCCTCCTCTTCCCCCTCCTCTTCCTCCTGCCCTCGCGTTCGCCTCCTTCGGGCCCACTCTGGCCCAAGCCGTCCCAGGACATGGAGGCTAGAGCTCGGCGAGAGCTGGGGCCACTGTGCCCGCTCTCGGGAAGTCAAATCGGCGTGATGCCCCTGTTGCTGGGTCCCGCCTCCTCCTACCCTCCACAATTGGACAACATGAAAACTACGATCCTCTGTCCCCTGACTCAGTCCGGAAGATACCGGGCCTTGTCGAGTGCTGTCTTTTTATTTCAACACAAAGTGTTTTGTTCTCTCATGGCGTTTTACAATCCGACTCTCTTCCGTGTTTCAAAATGGTGTTTCCGTTGCAGCGTGGGCCTCAATTTCGAATCGGCGCTTTGCTCCCGTCGTTCAGAATAGCGTTCTCGCCCCAGCGCGGGCCACTGTTCTAGATCCGAGTTGTCTCATCTTTGTCGCTCCCTTCACCCTTCATTTGCCTTCATCCGCCTTCCCCTGGTCTTCCTGCTCCTCCCGTTCCTTCCATGCCAGCTCCTGCTGCTGCTGTGCGTCCTCATCCTCATCCTCCTGCCTCATCCTCCTGCTCATCATCCTGCTCACCCGCCACATCATCCTCATCAGCATTATATGTACGCAACTCTCCTTTTCCGATTGCCCACGCCACGATGGTTTTTTGAGAGTTCCGGGTGTCTTTCTCCCCTCCCCTCCTGCCCTCCGCCTTCCTCTCCTCCTTCCCTCCTCCTGCCCTCCTTCCGCCCTCCCCTTCCTTCGTTCCTCATCCTCCTCTCCTCGCGCCCTTGCACTGACGTGCCCAGAAATCGGGTGGGACGCGGCGGGGCTTCTCAAGGTCGTGTTCGCTCGGGGGCCCGTTTCGGGCCCCAGGGGCCGCCAGAACACGACTCGGGAGGGCACGGCCAGGCCAAGGGGTCGAGACGTTCGGCGGCCCATGTCTTGCAAAGCTTTGCTTGTTCACAGATCACCCATCGGTCGTTGAAAGTAGGTATTCTTGGATTCCCAGATTCCAATATACTTTCAGCGCCTTCCTACTTCAAGAGTCGAGTGGTTTCCCCTTTCCCCTCCTCTTCAGGAGGCGGGCGGAAAAACCCAATCTATTTCCAACGCCTTCCTACTTCCGACCGATGGGTGCTTGCCACATCGAGAACACGCATCGAACGTGTTAGGTTCCAGCCGCTTTGTCAAAGCGGGGCACACCTGCTGGACCAGCACAAGAACAAGGGGATGGTTCTTGTTGTTCCCCTCCCCCCCATTCCTAGAGTGGTGAGCCCCGACCACGCGTGGAGAAGGAGGATTGAGGCGGGTGGCGTCAGTGAGACACGAGCCGACGCACAGGCCATCCACGCTCTGCAACCCGTCGGACCAACGGAGGAAGTACAAGAGAAGGGATCGATTGTGCGGTCCTCTTCCACCTGTTGTGCCGCGTTGGCGGCATGCGTACGCAGGTCATCGCGTAAGGTTACCGTGTCCCCGCGCATAAGAGTCCATTGTCATCGGCGCTCACGTGGGGCGGGGGACGCAGTTGAGCATGGGGGTATGGATGCGTCTCATCTCTGAGGCAGGTGAGAGGAGAGGAGGGTGGTGGGTGGGTGTCAAGCTAGGCACGCTCGCGCCACATCTGACGCTCTGCCCCTCCCACCCATCCCTTCCCATTGCCATAAGTCCGTTTCGATCCGCCGGCTGGGATGTTCTAGAGATGTCTAAATAGTAGTCGCAATATTTGACCCATCAGTTGTTGCGCAATCTGCGAAGATGGTTTGAGCATTGGAAGAGGAGGAATACGAGCAGGAGGAGGAGGAGGAGGACTAGGAGGAACAACAGGATCAGCGCAAGGCGGATCGGGGAAAGAGAGGGGGGAGACAATGCCGAATAACGAGCCGGATTCGGAGGTGTGGGCCCAGGGCGGTAACGCCGATCCGAACGATGAGAGCAAGGCACCGCTCTTGCAATGTTGCCAGCATTGCAGCGGGAACACAGTTGTGGAGGGCGTCCCGATCGAACAAGCAACAAAACATACAGTCGGGCCGTTGAAGAAGGAACCCTTTTTGTTGGTGAGAGGCTCAGTGATCATGCATTGTGTTACAGCTTTTTTTTGAGGGGGGTGTCCTTAGGTTTGTTGTTTTGGGGACGTCCAAGGTTAACTTATGGAAAAAGGGGCCTCGTTCTGGGCCCGCGTGTCGGGGGGGTGAAGTGAAGAGGAGGAGGAGGAGGAAGAGGAGGAGGAGGAGGAGGAGGAGGAGGGAGGAGGCAAGAGGAGCAAGACGAGGAGAAGGAGGACGAGGATGAGGAGGACGAGGACTAGGAGAGCGAGGAGCAGGTTACCTCATGGAAAAAAGAACCTCGCGCGCGCGGGCGGAGCAGCGCGGTACGCGAGTCAGGCGACGACACGGTGGCACATCGCCTGGGAGAGAGAACGCTGCGAGAAGCACGCAAGCAGGAGGCTTCCATGCGTAAGTCGGGCACGTCCATCTACAGGAAGAATATTCAAACATAATTGAAATCATATCGTACGGGGACGATTGTTTGAGTATTTTCGAATAGTTGACTGATTTTTATTTTTCGCCCGAAATCCGCCTGTAGGAGGACATGCCCGACCTAATGCCACGCCAGTCCGCCGACCCCTCCAGGGAGGAAACGCGGGGCCCCAAACTATACACCACCATTGCCTCCCTCACCCCCTCCCTCCCCCAGGAGAGAGGAAAGTCGGCGGAGGGGCAGAGGAGGGAGGAGGAATCGACGTCGTGGTGGTGTATATTCTCGGGGCCCGCAGGAAGGAAATCCATGGGCGAGGCCTTTCGAAAGGACGGTTTGGGGGCCTCCGGGGGCTTCTTGCTTGGCCTCTTGGAAGCCTTTCTGGGGCCTCTCGGGGGTGTCCTGGGCGTCCGCAGACCCCCAGGGCCAGACATCCGGCCGCTCCAAGTTTCTCAATGCGTGGGCCCCGGAGGTCTGCATCGGACGGGGCTAGGACGAGGATAGGTCCGTTCCAGAGTTGAGTCGGGCCTGTCCCTCTACAGGAGGAATATTCAAAACAAAAAACTCTGGATACGTTTTTGCCAGTTTATTAATCGCTTCGCTCATTCCGCTGGCCCATATTGTCGCACCGTTGTGGGCTAGCCGAGTTTTGGGGCCTCTTGGGGGCCGTTTTGGGGCCTCTTGGGGCCTCTTTTGGGCCTCTTGGGCGCCTCTTGGGGCGTCTTGGGGGCCTCTTGGGGGCCTCTTGGGGCCTTTTTGGGGCCTCCTGGGCGCCTTCTGGGGCGGAGGGCTCGATTTTTCAGTTCTCGGTTCCCCTCTTCAGCCCCTCTTGGGCCCGTCTTGGGGCCTCTTGGTCCGTCTTGGGCGGCACTTGGGCCGTCTTGGGGGCCCTCCTGGGCCGTTCCGGGGCCGTCTTGGGAGCCTCGTGGGCCGTCTTGGAGCGGTCTTGGGGGCCTCTTGGGCCGTCTTGGAGCGTCCGGAAGCCGAAAAAGCCAGAACGCAAAAAAACATAAAAAAACAATGAAAATCAACGATTTTGGCCTCTTGGGGCCCTCTTCGGAGGCCTCTTGGAAGGCCCTTGGGGCGTCTTGGAGGCCTCTTGGGCTGTCTTGGGGCCCTGTTGGGCGTCTTCGGGCGATCTTTGGCCGTCTCGGGGCCCTCTTGGACCGTCTTGGAGGCTTCTTGGGGACCTCTTGGCCCGTCCTGGGGCCCTGTAACAGAACTCCGGCATCTCTGGCCCGACCTTGCCGGGGACTTGCCGGGACCTTGCCGGGGTATTTTTCGTCCGGGGACCCCCAGGGGCCGCCCCGCGCGCGCGAACTAGAAATACTGTTAACCAGGTACCGGAGATCTTAGCACGCCCTGGCCCGTTAACGGAATTGGGCCGGCGAATTTGGCAATTTTGGAGCGTGTGTTAACTATTCTTTAGTTTTCGTCCAACATCCGCCTGTAGGGGGACATGCCAGACCTAATTCCAGAGCGTTCCGGGACGCTCTCACAGCTCTCGGCGCCCGATTCACTTTCCAGAGCCGCTAGATCTCAGACATTCTCAATCTATTCTCACCCGATTTTATCCTTGTCCTGGCATCGTCTTACACTTCCCGAGGGCCAGTTATACGTCCTGAGTTGTTTTCTGACGGTCCCGAGGACCAGCGAGGGCCCCATGAGGCCGAAAATTGTCCAGAGCCCGCCGCTCCAATTTTTTGGGAGCGTCGGATCTCTTTGGGGGGGGGAGCAATCCACGGGCGAGGCCGTTTGATGAAGGAACGGTTCGGGGGCCTTTGGGGACTTCCTGTCTGGCCTCCTGGAAGCCTTTCTGGGGCCTCGCGGGGGTGTTTTTGGGCGCCCGCGGGCGGTCTCGGGAGTTCTCGGGGGAGACGGGCGAGTAGAAGTTGGATGGAGTAGTTGCTGAGGAGGGAGGAGACACGGGAGGAGGGACAGATGAGAAGAGAGGGACAGGGGCAATGGGCAGAGTGTAATGGGACGGGGTTGGGGAGAGGGAGGGTGTGTTCGAGCAGGCTCATTTGCAACGGAGCGCCCGACCTCTGACATGGTCTCCTT